GAGAGCAGTGTTTATCAGGTAATATGCGAGGGGAAATATACATAAAACGCAAGAGGAAAGGGTGACTTTTGCGCATTCCACGTGATTATACACATAAGTTTCCCGTCTTTTAACTAGAAAGTACAGCACATTATTAGCAGTACATAATCAAACACATGATTATCACTTCCAATGCAATTGAAATAGGATTCAAATGTAATTTTGATAGCAATTGCAAGCTCCGTAGCAAAAAGTTAATGACTTCAAAAGGCAGTTGTACCTAATGACATCTATTCAAAGTTTTTGTTTGTATATAGATAATGCCCCTGAAAACAAATTGTTTGCTGCGAAAGCAAGCACCGCCTTTCAAGTCTTTGGACTACCCTTAAATTGTGCATTGCAACTGTAGTTTGCATACTCTTTTATCTAATTGCCACTCTTTCACAGTTTTGATCCCCATAGCAGTTCATTCAGTCAAACCATAACAAAACGGAACGGCAGGGTTCAAATTTTTGCCTGATTCATTTAGTGGCTGTGAACAACAGAGCTTTTTTGCAGAACATGCTGAAATTTGCTGGGTAATATGCATGGAAAGGGATGGTATATGCAAAGTTAAGAAATTTCCGCAAGCAGTCTAGAAAAACGATCAGAAACCCTTGGATATATTAGGCTGCTGCATAAGTTCTGCCCGATTTTTTTGCCTTATATTTGGAGCAGCTGTTCCAAGAGAATTTTATCTCGAATGCGGTATCACATGTATCATTAGAAAGCGCTTTTCTTGGTTTTTCTAAAGAATATCAAATTTCGGCAAATTTCTTAGTTTAAGGAGATTTCAGGCCTAAAATCTCCAAGAGGCCGAGGCGCGTTCTTACCATAGAAATATGTTCTTGCGAGGAAATCTCCACAATGCTCCCTTCAAGTCAATTCCTTTCATTGGTTACGGAATAAGAATGTAAAAGGCTAGTATATGCAGAAGCTCAGTTACATGAATAAAACGTCTTGCTCAAGTAAAATTTATTGTCAAACATTAATTTTTCGTATAGATGTTCACAAGCAGTAACTTTCTGCGAATAGAAGTAATCGATTTGTTTGAAGTGCTAGGGTAAACCAAGACCTAGCAGAACCCATCCACCAATTCCTTTTCCGCGCTCACGTCAATTGTAAAATTTTCATAATTTAGAAATAAACATAAATAGGCATGCACACATGCGCTGAAGCGAGGTAAAAAAGTGGCATCTTTTTTGCTCGGTCAAAAAAATTCCCTCGACAGCGTAAACCCTATGGACTCCATTATGTTGCATAATAACCTACGAAAATTTCTCTATCTATTCATTGTTAGATGAGATGATTATCAATTCTCATAAGGAAGCATTGCCATGTCGAGAAAGACAGGTTTGAAGAAAAACGCTAAAGTTTTCGAGTTCTTGCTTCTTTCCTAACAAGGATTTCCGCAGGCCTCAATATGTGTCTGATAGCCAAGGAATTGCTAAACACAAAGAAACTAAGATCTCACAAGAAAAAGTTGACTTTGAAAGAAGTCATGACATTTTGAACTCAAAAAATTGAAATACAGAACTTATGCCGCAGCCTAATGCAAATTTTGTTTTGAAAATCATCCCCGTAACTTTGCACGTCTGATGAAAGAACGAGGCATAAAAATTTGTTCAACACCCACTATTTGAACCAAATCGGAATCGTCTTCTGAGATGAGACACATAATCTTCGAAATGGCTTGAAACAATAATTTAATACATATCTTAGCTGCTGAGCGTCATTCTAAAGCGAGTTATGATCCCTTGCGCAAAATTTGCATGCTCATCAACGTACTGCTGCTAGGGTGTCAATGACTAGGTGATTTTGCAAATGCATAATGCTCACATGTTCTAAAAATTCAATCTGATACTACTACAACATTCTGGCATTTTTTCAAGAAGATTTCTATCTACAGGCCGTCTTCACATATTTAAAAGTATCTGACTCACTTTAGAATGATACTCAGCAGCTAGAACAGGATATTTGGAATCAGTGTTTGAAGATGATTGTTAAATAAGTGTCTCGTCTCAGAAGGCGATTCTAAGATGGTATCTTTTCCTTCCTTTCCTTTAGGGCACCAGCATAACACAAGCAATGGTGTTCGTCATGCTTATTAACAACCACTAAACTCATCTTAAGCTCTTTAACATTTGCAACAAATTGTACATACTGTGCATTTGTATCAAACAGGTTGGTAAAACATCTGGTAGGTTGGTAAACACCGCGTAGGCGCTAGAGGCTGTGGTCTAAGATGGCACATGATTCTTCATAATCCTCGCTAAATTCACGTTTTTCAATAAAATCTGAAAAGCATATTCCAATCTGAAAAGCTTATTCCAAGCCCCACAAGTTGTATTTATCGGCAAGTTCGTCGTTGAGATGTTTCGCATGGTTAAAATTTTGGTTCCTCCATTTCACTGCAAGAGGGGGTAATTGAATACTTTTCCTGAAAGCACATGTAAGCGATGAAATTCTTTTTACAAGCCGTACCCAGGGTCAAGCGTGTGTGATACGACTGTCGCAATGGGGGGTCGTAAAGAGGACACTGGCGGTGGGGGGGGGGAGGGGTCGTAAGAATGGTGGTCCGAATTAAAAATTGTGAAATGTATGAATTAAGTTTCTTAGTCGTAAACATTCTCTACTCTTCAAAAAACAGCTTTTTTCTCCCTACAAAAAGTTTTCGCAGACGGGGATTGAACTTGCTGGCTACAAGTATGACCGAAGAGACATTTTTAGAAGCTCAAGCACCAGGCATTCATGTGTGAAAGGATGTTAAGTGTACCAGTTGGTTTAGAAATCCTGGTTCCGAAGCATCACTGAAGTCTCACACTCTCGACAAAAGCGCTCATTTCTACCAGCGATGACCATCGATAATTTTTAAAACTTTTTTGCTATGTCTTTCAATGGCCCGTACAATTTACCTGTACTTTGGAGATGCTCTGCCACAGTTGTGCAGAATTACTATTGTATTTTATAGCCTGTGGATTTTCCAAAAATTTTGCATATGGCAGCAAAAAATGAGAAAAAGGGGTCGTTTCTAAGTAGCATCTAAATTTCTCCGGAGCTATTGAGGCTTGTTGGCTGCAATCTTGCTGTAATACGAGGCGTTTCTGCTACCTTCTATCATAAAAATTTTGGGCTGTTTCGTAACTTCTCCGGTGAATTACAAAATTTCAAGTTCAAAAATCGCAGTTTTTGCTTTTTAGGTTCGCATTTAATTTTGCAAGAGTCGCATCTAATTTTTTTCGAGCTCAATGCTCCTCAATGGCCAAAACTTTTGCCATGAAGAGCCTGGCACGATACTACACAGCTTATTCATTACAGCCTCTCAGTCTTTGCCTGAGTTTAGTTACGAATTTTCAAAGTACCGTGCTCATGCACGTTTTTGACATCGTTCTGGAAGGCGCTAAAACGGTTTTTTCGCAGGAAAATCTGTGCATTAGATAGAAAGTAAGCTTTCTAGTCGAAAACAAATTTTACGCTTTAAAGATATCGCTTTTTCTTCCCGCAAAAAATATTGTCGTGTACGGGGATAGAACACGGGACTGTCATTAAAGTCTTAAAACGTTCTAATTTCCAGAACCGTATTCTCTATCTTTCGTTACCACTGGACCATGAAAGGATTATGCCGAACATTCATAAACAGCAGAAAAATTTATTGACAAAAGGAGTTATTACAAAATAGACATTATATCAGGTTGTCTTATCATTTTTTACTGTTTTCACTACAACCGCCGTATTTTTGCATCTTCCCTTCATCTGATGTAGTTTGAGTAATCATTCGACAGGGCAAAGCAAAATCTACAAGATGGCTATCAAAAGTCTGCCCATATCTCACATGAAGTTATGAGCTGAAATTTGATAGTAGTCGAAAACGAACTTTCCTTTCAAAAATCGTATCTGCGCCCCAAATCATCTAAAAATTTCCCCATTTATCCTAGCATATGCTTGATACATCGCGTATTCAACTTACACTTACCTAATCTTTTCCGTGGCCAGAAATAAAGAAAAAAATGAGTGAGGTAAAATGGCAAGCTCTGCCGCTAAACGCCCTGAGCTCCTCTCACGCATGTGACCATATTGCCCATACATCTGAAGTGCGATCGGTGATTCGCTCCATACTCTAAATCTAAGTTGAGTCCAGCTCTACAAAACGGTACCTGAAGCAAGGCAAAAGACTTGTTAGGAAGAAAGATATTAACGATCAAACAGTGTATACATACTTTACGGACACCCTGTATAATGACTATTTTAGAAGTCAATAATTATAAATGACTGAAGTGGACCGTGGCGTAATTCTGAATTTTTCTTGGTTGTTATTTTATTTCATTTTTATAGGAAGTAGGGTACAGCTAAAATACCATTCAAATCAAATCGATGTTCTGTTTTGTCAGATGATGTCCTTTCCATTCATATTTTCTTGAACACAGTAAGCATAGCCAATTTGTAAAATTTTACTACTTACCCGATCTACGTAGAATTATTTGTTTTTGAGTGGTGAAGCACTACTTGCATCATCTCCCAGTTTGTAAGTAGTTTTTTCTAACCTATAGTTTTGAATGAGGTCCATTGGCAGGCATCTTCTGAGATTGACGTTCCTTTATGCAGGTTACGTTTACGCAAAAGGAAGTGGAGGAGGGGCGGGGGGTAGGTACGAGGGTAAGGGGTTGTATGGTTGTACGGATGGGTACCTTTACGGAGAGGGGTCGTAAATAAAGGTCCCGGATCGCATCAGCACGCTTGACCCTGGCCGTACCCTCAAGATTGTAAGATTTGTCATTAAGGGAAAGGTATACACGACTCATTGTTCTGTTTCCCTATCTACAAATTTTCAATTAAATTTTTGATTGGAGGTTTTCTAAACCTATAACTCAGTACCGTCAACCATACGCTTCATAGTGCCAAATTTTCCAGCCAACAGTTCGAGAACTTTCATTGCAGGATTCGAAACCGGGAAGTTCACAATCAGCGCAACTCGCACAGCATCAATGATGAACGAGACTGATTTCGCAAGCCTACCTGTGATCAACTACGTTGAAGCTGTGTTAATTGTGTTCGTAAGTGTACACGTAGTGTTACAATAACTCGCAAAGCATTGTTAACAGCAGCAACTACGTTTCATACCCATACTAAATTACGAATGAATCAAATCATTGTCCAAAAATAGAACGAGGTTGTCAATGTAGCATGCTTGACCAGGGCTCGGCACCAGGCTAAATAAAAATGGAAAAAACGAAGTCCCCCTTGACTTTTAGGAATTTTTACGAAGTTCCCTTTGACCCTCAACCAAATTTCCTCTAAAAACCTGAAAAATTCCCTAAAATCCCCCAAAAACGAAACGTCGACTAAAAAAAACGTTGCCAAGTCGCAAATTCCGTGTCATTTCGGCCACAAAAACGAAGCCCCCTTTGCTTTTCGTCCCAAAAAACGATACCAGCTGGTTTCCAAGCCACCTATGCCGAGCCCTGTACTTGACCACCTAAAAGCCTGTCTGACAGCCAGCGGAATGGAAGGGGACCTCTGCTAGAATATAGAAATGTTTTGATCCTCTTTTCGTCCGACTTTGTTTGATTTTTAAAGCAATGATTAGAATAGTTGAAAACCTGTTAGGGAAGTGAACAACTTAAATTAGTGCGACGATGCATTTTTATGGGTTCTTGAGTAAGTAGGGCGAAGCCAAGGGCGAAGGATAAGAAGAATAACATTATGAATTAAAGGTGAAAGGAGATTGACCACTCATGAGAAAGTAGCGAGAACAGCAAGTGAAATCGCTTCACATATCTTCGCACACAACATTAACCGTTTCAGAAGAATTCCAACTTTACAATCCTCATTCAGACATTTGTCATGGGATTCATGGTCAACTTTATGCCATTCTTGGTAATTATCAGGCACAAGTCTTTTCACAACTCTTTTGGCTACATAATCGCTTATAATGCCCTTGCGAACGTATTTGTTCTTCTGGTCATTGGTGTTTGGGCTGCGCCTTGGACATTGTTGTAAGTTTTGAAAAACAGCTTTTTTATCTCTGCTCAATTAGTAGGTATTACAGCGCTGTGCCAAAAAGTGTGCAAGGAGCAAACTTGTTTTTTGGTCAAACAGCTTTATTTTTTCTCGAAGCAGGCTTCCACGGCAACCTCCTCATCACGTTGAACAGGTATCATGATTAAGGCTTCTCTATAAATTACCGCCCCACCATGCACCGAGGTCTACTTCGAATAAGATAGTTTGATTTTTTGATCAAACACTCTTACAGTTGCTCCAGTTGAGATTAGGCCGGCAGTCGGTTAAATTTGGGCGCTCGCAGCGCTAGAGATTTGCGCTGCATACTATTATGGAGGGAGCAGACGAGTTAGTCGGAGACGCGACGCAATGCCCTCGCGATCAGGACCCCCTCCATGTCAATTTTGGCCTGTTTGGGATTGGGACAAATTGTGAGTTGCTGGAGAAGATTGAAGCAGGGAGACAAAAAGGAGCACGATGTGTGCGTTCAAAGAAAGCAAGAAAAGGAGTAAGAATCAAGCGCTGGTCAACTATGGAAACAGCCATGATACGAAAGCGCGAAAACGGTACCCTGGCTCGGCGTTGCAGCGATAGCTTGCTGCAGGACAAGAGGCAAGAAGCATCACATTGGAGTGGAACTTCATATTTGGAATCAGCTTTCACTGCCATAATATTAGGTCGTCCCGAAAGTTCTTGCGCACGATTTTCAAAAATTTGTAACTTTGCGCTGTTTCAACGGATTTGCTTATAATTTTATTAGAAAGAATAGGTCTTTCGCTTTCAAATGCTCTTTAGGCGAGCTTCTGTTTGACATTGCATGCGGAGATAAAAATGGAAAACTAAGGCCATATGAGCTTTGACCATTTTTAGTTAGGTCGCCAAAAATCGGAAACGCTGCAGAAAAATCTGAAATCGTCAGTACTTATGTTCTTTGGCCTACTCTTTGCAAATGTGAAGAGTATGTGCTGTTTGGACGTCTCTGTGAGAAGTTGTGATTATCGCGAAAATCGACAAATTAATTAATTTTGACATTTTCCATAGTAAACTCGATATTCATAACTTCTCACAGAGGAGTCCAAACAGCACATACTCTTCACATTTGCAAAGAGTAGGCCAAAAAACATAAGAACTGACGATTTCAGATTTTTCTGCAGCGTTTCCGATTTTTGGCGACCTAACTAGAAATGGTCAAAGCTCACATTGTCTTAGTTTTCCATTTTTATGTGTGCATTCAATGTCAGCCAGAAGCTCCGCAAAAAAAATTGAAAGCGAAAGACTTATTCTTTCTAATAAAATTAGACGCAAGCAAATCCGTTGAAACAGCGCAAAGTTACAAATTTTTGAAAATCGTGCGCAAGAACTTTCGGGACGACCTAGTATGAGAGTTTTTGACTTGTTTGAATTTGCTCCGAGGCAGGAAATGCTTCCAAGCCTAAAAATCTTGTCGAAGTTCCTACCGTAATCCTACAGTATTGAAGGCCGACCAATAATGACCACCCTTGGATCGAAGCCAAAAGGTCAAGGGTTTGCAAAAGTTGAGAGAAGGTCATCAAAATGAATACGATAGCGTGATCTAAATGACCTAATGTCTTATACTTAACACAACGGAAGGTGCATCCGCACGTTTTACCTGAAAAGAAGAAAGGACAAAGGGACGTAAAAACTAGATGAGCAACGCAAATGCGGATAAGAAACGTGAGAAAAACGACCAAAGCAAGTTGAAGACGATGAGCCTATTTGCAAAAATGCGTAAGCATCTTATCAGCGTAACAAATTGACTGCGCTTGATTGCTCAAAGGTGCTGGATGCTCAGAAACTCCTTGTAGTTCTGCAAATTTGTGGGACTTTCGGGCTTTTCTCAGTGCCCCGGAAGTCGTTGCCTCGGCCCTTCGTGACGTCCCGTAAACGGACCGCCTCACATCCCTCCTTCCCTGACAGCTCCAATGTTAAAAACGCCTACCGGAAGTCCCAAAAACTTGCAGTGCCTCCCGGATGGCTTCGAGCGTTTGTCTGTGTTTTAAATGAAACTTGATTTCCTTAAATTTTTCATGAAGAGATGAATAACTGCTCTTTTAATTTTTTTAACAAAAAAGACATTGCGAATTGGATGACCTGGTTGTCGTGCGCTGGAGAAACAAGAACATGTCAGAAAAGTTCAGCCATGATATAACTCGAGTACTTGGATAGTAAACCGTAGTAATCGTAGTAAACCCCCGTTCAGCGCAACTCAGCTGGGGCGGGCCTACGTTGAACGTAGTCCGTCTCAGTCCGGCATCCGGTGAGCTATTGATTTAGATGCGGACCCTTCTGATTTAGATGCGGACATAGAGATCTTTTGCATTCTTAAGAACGACGTATTCGAGGCACACAGCTACGACTTTGGCTCACTTCGCCCTCGGTCATGCTTTTGACCGTGTAGCGCGGCCAGCTCCCAGAACCTAGACTTTCTTGCATGTTTCTTTGATTGCATTCTCTTATCCAGCTTGTAGTTACTTTATCTTCATGAAGTTAACTTTTTCTGCATATGGTGAAGTTAACTTCCTCTGCATGTGATGAAGTTAACTTCCTCTGCGGGTCCGCTTTTCATATAATGTACGCCTGAATATAGAGTATCGTGCATGCCCAAATGTATCTGATTAAGCTTTGCACTTCCACATGCATTTGCGGTAGAGCTAATAATTTGCAAGTTTTCTGTCTCCAAAGAATTTATTGTGAAGAAGATGCGACGCACTCTGAGGAAGAATTTTGATAAGGATACATTATTCGCTATGCCCATGGGCAGAAAATGATTCACTCATACTGTAGAAAGTTCAGTACACTACGTTAGTTTACTGGCTTGTGAAACAGACCTTGCTTAAATCAAGGTCGATCCTCTGCATATGTTTTTCGCTAAATCACTGTCTTGTAATATTCCATATGTTGCTGAGCCAGCTATACCAGCTGCTCAGACAATCACAGGCTCTCAGCCGGCAGCCACAAAGCCACCGCGAAAACCCACCAAAAGCGCGGTGGCCTCATCGCCTCACTGTCGCTTCCCGCTGAGAACTGGCAGCGAGCGGGCTGCTGTAAAGCCTTCAGCGCGAAGCGAAAAGCCTTTAGCGCGAAGCGAAAGCGGCGGTTTCGCTTTGCGCTGAAGGCTTTATAGCAGCCCGATCGCTGCCAGTTCTCAGCGGGAAGCGACAGTGAGGCGATGAGGCCACCGCGCTTTTGGTGGGTTTTCGCGGTGGCTTTGTGGCTGCCGGCTGAGAGCCTGTGATTGTCTGAGTGAGAGTGCCAGGTCGCTCACTGGCAGACTGAATCATTCGCGATCAATGAAGTTTTGTAAAAACAACGTGATTTTTCTTGGGTCATCTAATCGAATATGCACTCAAAGAAACCCTTCGAGATCACGCTTTCCACCCGCTCACAACTAGTGCATAGTTTATATGATATATAGAACAGGAAAGTGATAGAAAATTCACCGCAGTTTGACCAGTAAGTAAATATCCAAATCCGCTGCTTATTGCAAGGGCTGTGTTTGAATGTATTTACGCTGGCGGTTCAAGGCAGTGGCGAAAGTCTCGTTCCAAAAATCCTATCTTGCTAACTCTAAAATTCTATCTTACATTTTCCACAAGTTTCCTTTGCAAAACGAAGATGAAAAGCTTTGGATGTTACAAGCAAAGTAAGTATGATATTAACTACAATGTATGAGATAATTCGATTTCTTGATGGAAACTACACAACAGTCGAAATCAAGTGAAATCGAACATGGAACCAAAAACAATGGACAACGAAACACCTGGACCGCGCTAAAGTAAACAGTCATGAGCGTGGGAGAAGCGAAAAAGTAAGCAAGGGCTGTGTTTGAATGTTATCACAAGCTGAAACACAAAAGTAAACTACGGAGAGCTAAGTTCGGGGAGCTTGCAGCGCTCCACGGCCAAAAGCATGACCGAGGGCGAAGTGAGCCAAAGTCAATAGCTGTGTGCCTCGAATACGTTCTTAAGAACTAATACGGAAAGCTACCTAACTTAGCTCGGCCTTTTGGGAAGAGGTATTTATGTTCTGAATCAGCTTTGGATGCTGATTTCAAATATGCTATTTTAGCTGCCGCGCACCATCCCACAACGAGTTATGGGCTTGTTGCTGCGCAGAATTGAAATACTATGTACTGAACAAAGACTGCTTGTAGGCAAAAATCTGCTGAAATGTCGAAATAACACAAATTCAATCTTTTCTCACTAAATAGAAGCTTAACGTAGGTGTGTTAGCACTTAGATGATGATGCCTGATGCCTGTGAGTCGATGAGTATGCCAGTTTTGCGCAGGAAAAAGCCCATAACTCGCCTTGCAATGGTGCGCGGCAGGTAGAAATAACATATTCGAAATGAGCGTGAAGCTAATTCAGAATATGTAGGTCTCGTGCCAAAATGCTGAGATAAGTTAGGTAGCTTCCCTTGTAAATTCTTTGGTCTAGCGGCTAAGTGTATAGGTTTCAACGCGTAAGACCACGGTTCGAAGCTAGCTAATGGCAAATTTTTGCTCCCCACGGACAGTTTTTTTTATAGCGGCCGCTATCGAGAAAGACCGATGATGACCGCTATCAAGGATATCACCTAACAAATGGACAGATAAAATAAAATTAACGATTTCATGTATAGAATGAAATATATGAAGAAATTTTCGTTTTGAGCAGCTTTCGTAAAGGACCTAGGCAAGCTGTGAAAGGAAGTAAAAACCAAATTTCTTGCTTTCCTCGCCGCAGTCAGTGTTCATTGATGCTCTCCCATTTAGGCCTTTGAATCTGTGAAGTTTTGGAGGTTTTGCACAATACGTCGACTGTATTTCCGTAAGTTACTCACAAGCAACCGGGGAATTTGTCTGATTCTCCTCTTTTACGCACTATCTCTCTCGGGTCACTCTGTAATTCAACCTCGGATGGGGGCATTCTAATGAATTGACTGTGACACTCAACCGGACATTCTTCTGACTGTTGAACTGACTATCCTAAAGCACGGAAAGGTGGGCGGGAATAGGTTCACTCGAAGAAGTTCTTTTGAATGACTAATCTTAAGTCACCAGAAATGAATGGGAGTTTACTACGGGCCAAAATGTTGCCTACGATAACAACAATTGGTTTCCTCTAATGGAATAATATGTCAATAGTAAAACGTGTACACGTAAGAGGATTTATGGTAGGAGGAAGAAGAAATGGTATTAGCACCTTGTCTACTAGATAACTAAACCTCAGTCATTTGTAACTTAATATGTGATATTGCACACTAAGCCCTATTAGCGACGGCACCCATACTAGTAACTTCCTAATAAAATATCTTCTAGCCTGACAGAATGTAGAAATGTGTTCCACTGACTAACATATAACCAACTAAAACAAAAGAAACAGTGAAACAAGGAGAAATCATTGGAAATGATCAGGTTCTAGTTTCGCAGTTCGTTGGTTAGCGTGTATAGTGTGCACCACGCATATTAAGTTACAAATGACTCGACGATAGGTAAAAGTGAAAAATAATAACATGTTCTTTACTACTTTTGCTTGTCAGTCAAAGATCGTGCACCTTTTGAGCTAAAGCGCAGCACGCTAAGGGCCTTGACCCCCAAAATTTCTGGCTGTTTTGGGTTGGTCAAATTTAAAAGTAAAAATCAAGTGCGCTTTGTACTCGTAAATGAGTAATGAACGATCTTCTAAAAACTGCACTTTTGCCAAGTGCGTGTCCAAAACTTTGGAGCTGCCTTACATCTGAGACAAAAGATATCGATCGATCACTTTTACTGCTACAGCAATTGTAGTATGAAACAGTCCTGAAAGTGAGCCTGGACGTGGGAAAATCGTACTTGGTTTTACTTTTGCTATCATAATTAAGGTTTGCCGCAGTCACATTTCCTCTGAAATACCGCCTGTGGTTTACGCCAAAATCTACAATCATCATGCTGATTTGCATGACTTGTGTACCATTGGCGTACTCGACAATTTTTTTCATAGGTAAACGATTTTCCAAAGCTTCATTCATCAGCAGTTCAGCCCAAATCAAAGCCATATAGTTACACTTTAGAAACTTGCGACTTCTACTACGACCATGAAACGCTCGTGTGGAGGTTTGGTGTGCATCACTGCAGTGTATTTTTGGCAACATACATAGACCTGTGCTATAACATACTCCTCTTTGTTATTATAGCTGTCGTAGACTGCATCACTCTTCTTAAACTTCAAAGCATGAAAAAGGTTGTTTAGAAAAAATCTGAAGGGAAGTCTATGGGAAACTCATAATTTCAGAAGTCATTAGCTCGCAGAGTTTGTTCAAATCTCGAGACTAATGAAATAAATAGGCAGCACAGAAAAGAAGTGAATCTGTTCGTGCAGGTTACGTTTGAATAGCAACATAATGAGTATAAAAACTAAGTAGTATAATTGTTTCAGGCGTTCCTGACATCAGTGGTATACTCGCTTATGCTACTGTGTTTCAATTTGACTAATTGGCATGTATCTAAGGGGTTTTTCTTGTTTCTAGGCACAACCTTTACATGGGAATTATCGTACGTTCTGGGAGGGTAAGTAGTACCAAGCTAAAAATCAATTTCGAGTCTCCATTTGAGCATCGATTAGAATGTTTAAGCAAATCTAGTATCAAACCGAAAACACTAAAGCTGTTGTAACTCCTTTTAAAAGTGCTTGTGTGAAGATTGACCAATCTCATCGCTGTGCAACCTAGCGAATCAGCTCCCAAATGTTCGCTTCTTCTGCACATTTGCTAGTCTTTGATAGCAAATACACTTTGTTGATTAGAACTTTCTGCCCGCTAATGCACTTCTTTTCAGATACATAATAATTTGGTTTAATCCAGAAATTAGACGGCATCTCGTCAGTGTAAAAGAGTTTGTCAGTTTTTTCAACAATCCAAATAGTAAAGTGAATATGTTGCAACTGACATCATCAAGAAACTGAACCACTTTTATATCATTTTTAAACAATGGTATCTGGTATATAAAGTTGTTTGTTTGCCTGTATGTATGCTGCCTGTCTTCTATTATGTATGTTCCGATTGAATTTATTTAGTTTCTGTACAGATAGCTATATTGAATAATTTCTGCTCGAGATCAAGCGATAAGTGCGTGCAAGAAAAACTCAAAGTTCCACCTTTGAAACCATTGCTATTCTAAACGTATGCTCACTTGAATTTTAAAGAAGCAGATTATTCAACTCTTTAATCTAATCGAATACGTAAAGAGGGAAAAGGCCTCAAATTTTGATGGTGTTTCCTTTTACATATGTGTTCCGAACAAAAGTTTTCCCTGAGCACCTAGAATTTCTAAAAAACTGCACCTTTTTCAAATTTTCAAGCAAGCTGCTCAGCGGCCTCGATATGTTTCGAAAAGCGATCCTTATGCCGCACGATTCTTCTAAGCAAACGCAACATCACATAGGGCTTTGATCGCTAATTTCTTTGCCGTGTTCGAACTGGCCGATTAAAAAAAATCCTTGCGGCTTACAGGCTTGAACATAGGGATACTGACTATAAGTATTGCACCAAATCAATTCATTCCGCAAGAAGTCTACTTCTGCATTTTACACAGGTTCCGGCACATCATTCAACAAGCAAGTACATACAAGGTAGGGCTCTTATACTTGCAGCAACTTTGATGCGCTATCGAAGATAGAAACTAAAAAGATCCAAATGCCCGATTGAGAAAATCTTGACTTCGTCAAAACCTTTGGCCGGCAACACAGCAGTAATTATTTGTTTACACGCAAATTCTGCACATTTCGTATTGAAACATTATATTGAGCAAAAATTTACACAACTGTACAGTTGCTGTATATTCTTCCAAAGCTAAAATTTAAGAGACCGAGGATTCGCCCATTTCCAAAACGCTAAGCTGCTATTGCATACTACAAGTCCTCCTAAGTAATGCACGTAAATTTTTAGTCCTTCTTCTCCCAAAAAATCTGAGTTTTGCTTGAGAAACCCGGACAATGGAAGCGAAATCCAAAATTTCTGGAGGACTAGCTCTGTATGAGGCCAAAACTTACAGTTGTACCTTTGAAAGATTGTTGTACAGTTACTATTATGGGCGCAGTCCGGCACTGCTTTGAAAATGCCAAAGATTATCGATTTTTCAGTTTCTAAATAGCTTGAAAGAATACAGCAACTGTATATACGGATGTTTCTTGGGATGTAATACGTTGTCACATAAGTTTTGCAACTTATTTCGATTTCCTCTTTTTGACAGCGACGCGTTCATTTCTGGATATAATGTAAATCAAAAGTAGGCTATAAACACTCGCAAACAATTTAATTTTTGATAGCGGAATGGAGAAAATTTACTCATTTTTCGGAAGCCGGTCAAATCCGAAATTTTTAGGGGCGCAAAACCAAAAATAAAGCAGTTTTCAATCTTAATCATCTACATCAATCCGAAACTGTGTAGATAATTAGAGTTTCTTTATCAACAATCTGCAGTACGTTTCGGCTTGATGTGTTTGAGTAAGACTGAGAACGGCTTTATTTTTGGTTTTCCGACCCTTGAAATTTCCGATTTGACCAGCTTCCGAAACTGAGCAAATTTTCTCCAGTTCAAAGCCAAAAATCAAACTGTTTGAGCAATCTTAGCCTACTATCTAGCCTACATTATAAAAAACGAATGCGTCACAGTTAAAAAGAGAAATGTTATAAAATAATTTGCAAAGCTTATGAGCCAACCTAATTCGTGAGATTTTTTTTTGACGGAGTTATGACTTCTTTTTTAGTTTTGTGGGCATTTGGTTCTTTTAGCTAGCTTCAGTCGTGTTTAGCAAAGTTTCTGCAAATATATGGCATCTATTTCGTGAACTGGGAACGAGTGGCGCAGTGTATGAGGCGCCGCTATGACCGGATCGGACACAGGTTCGATCCCTCCCCCCCCCTGGGCCAACCAAGCCCTCTACCCCCAGAGGCCGGTATTGGTACCAAAGTAAGTTGGGAGGATAAAAGCACTGACTTGGAAACGGCTGGCCCCCGCAAGTCACGTAATAGGTTCGCACGCATACAATTGTCTCTTCGACTATAAAGTTAGTGTGTGCGCTCGGCGCATGCCCTCAGAGGGTATTGAAGACGCCGAATCCTTTATCCTTTATCCTTTATTATTTTGTGAACCTTGTTTCGCTCTATTGAAGTATGCCGAAAGCTCTGTAGAATTCAAGAGCAGTATGACTATTGCGGATTGGCCTGATTTGATGCAACACTCATAGACCAGTTATTTGACGTTATCCATTGACTTCCTATACTATATAAGGGCCGCAGCACGAATATTTTTCTGGGAAGGGGAAACCAGGTTGGATAAAGGAGCTTCATGTTCTGGAGCTCTGGAGATCCCGTTTCCACGCGGTCTATTTTCCTCAAGTATTGTTGTTGCCATTCACTATGAACACATAGAAAGGGAGCGTAGTTGTAAAAGAGCGTTCTTCGAATTTTTATGATCCGTCGATGATTTTAATTAACACGTTTCGGACCGCGAAATCGCGCGCGGCGAAAAAGAGGGTACTTTGAGCCCTTTAGCCAACAAAGGGACCTTATTTCCCAAACTGTGTGCTACATCTGTAATCAGCATGCCAGATAAGATCGATACCAAAGCTCTGAATGAATTCGAAGTGTTTGAATTTTGTCGCTTGAGAAGGACTTCCGTGCTTTCTTGGATAGAAACAAGAACTCAGTTTCTAACTGTATCCAAAAGTGTCTATGCTGTAAACGAACACATCATTATTGAAATCACGGTTTTTCTCATTGAATTCGAAGCAAAGAAAGGTTGCGACGTCGCACGCGTCGTTCGCGTTGCCGCCCTTCGTTGCAACTGTTGTTCGATTTGTCCTCATATCTCCCGAACAAATACCGTCGGCACAGCTCTACAGAGTCATTTGAGAAGTAGGAGCCTAGGCGTTTGACTTGATAACCTTAGACAAAGAGAAAACCTCCTGTAGAGTTTAAAAAGATCCTTCAAAGCCGCGTGCTGCACCATGTGCAGCACCGGTCCGAAACGTGTTAAACAGAATTCCTTTCTCAGAGTCATTTTTATTTCTTTGAGAGATCAAAATATATCAAAGTTGGCTGTTTGGTTGTTTAAACGCGTTAAGCATGTTTTTGACAAAAACAAATGTGTTCTTAAAACACAAAGATTTTAGAAATCTTCACCCGAGTGCCTCACTTGCTCTTGTAAAAACATGAGTAGCCCAACTGGGTTAGAGAGTTAGATATTAGCACAACTTGGTATGTTTTCATCACTCAAAGGGAAGAAAAATGACTTGTTGTAAAGATCGTTGAGCTTAGCACCGATGAATCATAGAAAAGGCTGGAAAACGAGGCTCATTCAACAATCTCGCCATTTGATTCCATAATAAGGTCGAAAACATTCCTCATGCGAATTCTGTCGCGAGACGATTTGGTAGTACTCCAATTGGTCATAACTCATCGTGAGGGGTTCCTGAATGCACGAAGGTAGGGTATTTTATCGACCTACAAAAGTTAAACTTGCTGTGCCTTTGGGATCTGCCAGTATTGAAGTTGAAGACATTGCACATTGCCAGAATGGTGACTGATATCGCTTGAAGTATGCTTTGTGCTGAAGGGCGACGGAAATATTTGAGGTTGGAACGGTAAATCAGATACGAAAGCCAGTATATGAAGCTTCTTTCTAATATGCGCTTTGCTCCTCAGCGAGAAGCCCTAAAAAAAGGTGTAGCTGCCACATCTTTCTAGAGTTTGTGTCACAACCCCTACGTCATAGAAAATTTGTTGAGAATGATTATATATGTCAATCTCGTAGTTTTTTAGCCTAATTTGCCTGTTCATCTTGCGGCAAAGAGATTTTGACCGATTCCTAATTACAGAGTGTCCCAAAAGTGTTTGAGCCTATACTTCTTCAACTGAAATTGAACGAAGCAATGTAGATATAATACATGGAACTGAACGTTCATAAAAACCAAAAAACAACAAGGTACACTCGTGTTCTGAAAAACCCTCCTTTGGCCACACAGACCCTCAAACGCTTACGGAACGTATGCACTGCGGCACATTTGAATGCAGTATTTTACGTCTCTTTATGCAGTTTTGGGCGTACGCCGAGCAAAGTGAGATCTATATGGCAGAGGTATCGCGCAGAAGCGCTGTATGTGGTAGACAGTTTCGAATTTTCTAAGCTAGTACAATAACGAATTATTCAGTTTTACAGAGTGTACCAAATGTAATAAACTGTTTGATTGTTGACTTCTCTCCTCCCAAAAAATCTTCTGCCTACCTTCAACTACCGATTTGTAGAGCTGGCTTCAACTTAGATGACAGTATGGAGCGAATCACTGATCGCCTTTTGTTGCTGTAGGATTACGGCAGGAGCTTTCAGCATACATCGGCATTGTGAAAAGACCGTTTGAAAGAAATTATTTATGTTAAGTATTTCAGGCTTCCTCAATGGAGTAATCACTCTGACGAAGCTGAAAACCGCTTTCA